AACCTGTCATCCAGGCGACAAATGCTATAAAAAGCTTTTAAAAACATCACATATTTGCCTTCTGGGTGGCTATGCAGCTCGGGTTTTATTTTGGTTTACACTTTTTTTGTTGTTGTTTTGTAATGGTAACTGCCACTCAGCGTAATTAGCAGTTGTCATATTTCTGTTTGTAAAGATCCTTCCCACAAAAACAGAGTGATGTTGCTTTGCACCCTCTTCCCAGCTGTGCCTGAGAGCTGTAACACGGGTTTTAGACATCCACTACCGCTGATCTCAGACCCCCACAGGTTTCAGCAGTCAAGCCATAGAAACATTCTTGTTAGTGGGAAAGAAAAAGCCATACTCACCCTAGCAGTTTAAATCTGATAAGCAGCACCTTAAAAGAAAAATCATACCACAGTCTAAACATGCTGTCTCCATCTGAACATCACATCCTTTTGCCTTTTAACCTGAAGTTAAATTTAACCTCTATTTACCTTTAAAAAAGGAGGTGGAAAGTAGTTTCAACTGTGACATCGGCGCCCAAACCCTGAATGTAATTATGTTTATTATTAATCACATAGATTAATAGTTTATAGTATGTTTAACAAAATCGAGGCTCCACTGTGCAACATGCTCTACAGAAGTATGATGATGGTGTGAAGCAATTCCTCACCCAACACACATATTGTGTGGTGTGCAAAGCGGTGTGCCCTGCAAGCCTTTTGGGCTAAAGACTGCCAGTGGTTTTCCATGAGGAAATCTGTGTTACTATCCAAAGAGCTCATAGAATTAACCTAGACTGGGCCAGTGTGAAGGACCAGAGTCTGTCCCTCAGCAGTTAACCCCAATGCTGCGCTGCTCAAGAGTTCTGCCATTATTGCTACTTAGCACCATTATTACTTAGCACCAAGAGACACACAACGCACAGAAGGAAAAAAAAAAAAAAAAAGAAAGAAAAAGAAATCTCACATTGCTCTCACCTAAAACCAATGCCACTTTTATTCATTAACCCTGCTTCCATCTGGATCTGGACAAAGTGGCCTTCTCTAGCTGCTAGGCAACCTGAACGCTGCATTGAGTATTAACTGCACGCATTTGCTAAGAATATAATAATGTTACCTTTGAGATTTATTTATAATAAAAAGCATACCTGGCTGAAAATATAATCGCTTTCCATCAGTAATTAGCAACTCTAGGAATACAAAACTGTTGGTCAAGAAAGAAATAATCCACACATACACCCCACATGCAGAGAGATATTATAAATCAGCTCCTTACAAATATATTGTAAGGGAGATGCTTTACATGAAAGTATTATTAGAGATGACAGTGGCATTTAAAAAAAAAATTCTAATCCAAGACTTACATTTATGTAGATATTAGAATGTCTACATAATATATTAATATATTTGCTTAAGTGATATTTTAAATTAGAAATGTTTAAGTTACCAAACCTCATCCAATTACAAAATGAGCTTTCTCAGTAAAGGTCACGTATTCAATTTACATAAGACCACCGTTCCTAAATAAGACAGAAAAGACTTGAAATTAAAACACCGTCAACTGATCTTGGAGTTCTTTAACAAAGGAAAAAACCCACAAAACATTATTACACATAACCCCTCTCTGCACCATTTTGCTGTTTTCTTCTCTAGCATCAGAGCTATCATTCTGCCTTAAAACCACTGTAAATATCTTTACTGTGTCGCATTCCTCTCGAATCTCAAAAGGGAGAGAGTGTCCTTTCAAGTCTTTTCAAAGCAGATCATTTCCCAGACTGCCAGGTCACTAGCACAACTGATAGGAATCTTACTAAAATATCAGTTTGGGTGATTGGCATGTCAACAAAGCAGGAGGCCCACCAGTGACATCGAGATTGAAGGGAGCAGCACTCTTCTTTGATCATTACACATGACAGCTTGTCAAATCCCCAGTCACAAAATATGGACCTCCTCAAACTCAGCGCAAACACAAAAGCTAGATCTCTACCTTAAAAACACTCACCAATTTCTACTGGAGATATTAACCATGAGACAGGCCAGACAGACATTTAGGGACACACTGTTAGCCTTTACACACAGCTGCATGGCACTTGAAGCAGTATGAATTTTTTCTTAGCTTTAAGAAAACCCAAGGAGCTCTTTGTAGCTGGAACCCTACACCCAAGTCCTCTGCTCTTCTGTTCAACACTTGCAAAAGTCAATGCAGACAGTCCCAACCATCACCCAATCTCTCTGGATCGCAGCACAGCTGTAGTAACTTGAGATTCGTAGGACGCAAAACAAGGTTATTTGTGGCACAGCTGCACGCACTCAAGAGCTCCACAAGCACCCATGAACTGAAAGAAACCTGGCTCTGCAGAGCAGAGAACATTAGAGGGTTCTACAAGTGCTCCTCTCTGGATTTTATAAAGATATTTGAAGTGGTTAATTTAAACACTTGTACCTTCTCCTTCTACACTTTCATTTCACGTTGGACCTGGTTCAGGTAAGACTTAACATTAAGCTTAGAGGGAGCATAATTTAAAAAAAAAAATTAAAAAAAATCAATATAACTGGAAAGTTGCAAGTAAAAGCAAAGTGTTCAACGGCGCTGCAGGTCCCACACTCACAGAAACTCAATAGCAGCTGTAAATCTTTCAAAAAAGTAATTGGAAGACAGGTTGGTAAGAAAACTCTTCCTTCCCACACATAGGAATGCATGGTTTTGGTATGCTAATAGTCCCCACTTCTATTACATGTACCCAAAAGAATACATTGAAATTACAAGTTTAGTCTCAGGACAGGCAGGAGGTAAACAAGTTCAAATACTGTGGTTTTTACAGAGGTACACACTCATTGTTTTTGTTAAATCCTTAAATCATGACTCACATCAGGGATCCATGCAAGGAACACAGAGAGAAGAAAAGAACACAAGTCACTCTGGAAACTGTCAAACACTTACATGAACCTTTTATTGAAAATGAATTTTAAGTCAACAATGCTGTTGGTAACTCCAATATTACAGGTCCTATAGATAACACCCTCTGAGGAATCCACCTGACATCTCTGCTTATAAGAAGGTTAAGGTTATTAAAGCCTTTTTCCCCCCAAAGCCTTCAAACAGATTCAATTAATATTATTGCTTCATTCATTTTAATCCCAGTATCTTTGAAAAAAAACACAAAAAACCTCACACAAATATTTCATGTTGCTTTCTGTCTTGCTTTTACACAACTTATTAGAGAATGTCACGTTCCAAGATTAAGAAAGACAAACTGGATAGTTGCTTACGGGGCCTAAACTACAAACATTCTTATTACCTAAACCCTAAATTAAATCGAACAGTTTCATGTCAGGTTATCTACATTAGTTTCAATGCCAGAATTTTGCAGCATAAAAAGGATCTTTTATTAAATAATTTGTACCTTGTTCCCAGCAACACAGAAATAAAATGACTCATATTGTTGCAGTAAAAACAAACCAAAACCAAAAAAACCCCAAAAGTTCCTCATCTTAGATTCTCATTAATTTATTATGACTATTCAAGATAGTCACAATAAATAAAACCCCAATATGATTACTATAATATCACATTTAAATGCCATAATTAAAGATTGATTATAAATCAGGTGTATATAGAACAATTAGAAGAATACACTATTAGCTGGGGCAGAACTTGGGTAGAAATGCTATGCAATTCCAACTCATCTTCAAGTCTGAGCTTTAAGCTTAACTAAGTAGGCAGCTACTTCAAGTTAGTAACCTAACTCCTTTAAAATTGCTTAAGCGAATACTAGCTTCATATCTTCTATTTGAGATCTTTTCTTTTTATGCAAAACAGAAGAGAAGAATCTTGCTAACTGGAATTCCAGATGGAGCCCCATGGTCCTTTAAAACACAGCAATATGAGCCTAAGTGTTTTTTTTAAACACACTGAGTAATTCAGTGGGATGCAGAGGGTTTAAGCACCATCAGGATAAATGGCACTTGCACCGAAGGGTTTAAGTCATTTGCCAGCAAGTTGAATAAAAGAAAACAGTTGGTTTCCATAAAAAGGTACATGATGAGCTACTGAGAATTGCTTGGCCTTAGTCTGCCACACTGCAGCTCAGGAACTTTTTCTTTTTCTTTTTTTTTTTTTTTTTTTTTAAACATGAGCCTAAGTGTTTTTTTTAAACACACTGAGTAATTCAGTGGGATGCAGAGGGTTTAAGCACCATCAGGATAAATGGCACTTGCACCGAAGGGTTTAAGTCATTTGCCAGCAAGTTGAATAAAAGAAAACAGTTGGTTTCCATAAAAAGGTACATGATGAGCTACTGAGAATTGCTTGGCCTTAGTCTGCCACACTGCAGCTCAGGAACTTTTTCTTTTTTTTTTTTTTTTTTTTTTTTTTAAACTAGGTTAGGATCCTGTAATTCAAAAAGGCTGAAAACGTCCCATGACTGGGTGTTTAAGCAGAAGGAGCCTCCAGCTTACCTGCACCACTTCTCCTCCCATTTGATTTACCAAGAAGTCGTGTCAGCAGAGATGGTTTGAAGCACACCTCTGTCTTTCCCCCCCGAGGAACCCTGGATGGATGAAGTGAGCTGGCTCAGTGCTGCTGAGCAGGTACATGAGTTGCAGGAAGATACGAGCATCTATTTTGGAGGACATAAGCTCGTAGTAGAAGCTATGTGCAGAGTTCACTCATTGAGGACTCACTGAATTTCTCCACCTACTAGTAACAGCACTTTTTTGAGTGAGCAAAGGGCTCTGGACCTGCTCTGGGTTTGCTGCAGTTTAATAGTTCACTGACTCCTCAAAACACAGAGCAGCTGCTCAAGACCATATCAGGAATCCCACCAGTTGAGACACCAATACAAAGAGAACTTACTCAGCTATACTGCAGGGAGACAAATAATACACCCACACAAAACTTATGAACAATCAAAATCTATATTAATCCAAAAAATCTACTTCCAAACAAGCTATTTTTTTACCATGGTATCCTTGCTGGGATTAATATAAAGCATTTTTGAAAATGCTGGCACTTACCCAAATCTGCAGTTTCACCCGCTTGTCATTCCTATAAACTGTTTTCACTTTGAAGTCAATTCCTACTGTGCTAACGAAGGCTGGTGTGAAAGTGTCATCGGCGTATCTGAAGAGGAAGGATGTTTTACCCACGCTGCTGTTGCCAATGATCAGGAGTTTGAACATGTAATCAAAATTTTGATCTGAAGTATCTTTCTGCCTGTATCTGGCATCTGTTACTGAAGCCATCTAAGAAAAGGACAAACATTGAAAAAGAACAGATTTAAGAGCAGTTCAGCATTTGTTTTCCTTAACTGTGTATACCATATGTTTAGCTTATCTCTCTTCTTTCTAATATCATAACCGCTCTACCTGCTGAATAAAGAGGAATACACCTTGAAATCTTATTTTAAACCCTCACTTGAAATTTCTATTATCCACTTGTAGCAGTAAGATTTCCAAGCCCAGGAAATATACCTGTTGCACTGCTTTGTGTTCAAAAGAATAACAGATGGCTATTGCAGATTGTTCAAATTCTAGTGGGGAAACAGCATTCTTTACTCCAGTGGCAGGGTGCCACTTCTGTTGCTCCAATAAACTGCAGTGCAGCAACCAATAACTAAAATCTTTGTCAGTGCATCCAGCTATGCAATTCATCAAGCATCCTCTAAGGTAAACCTAAATAATTCCTTTTATGACTTCTACAGAAAAAAAAAAAATTAAAAATCTACATTTCTAGCACAGGCACCACCACCATTTTATCCTTAGAAAAGTTCTGTCCTCAACATTTACAATGGGAGAAGATGAAACATCAGGAATTTCAACTGACAACTTTGAATCCATCCAACACGTATGTACTCTCAAGACTGCAATTAAAATAAATGGCACCTGCATAAAACATGAGGGCTCAGTGGGGCTGCAGGCAGCATTTGGAACAGATAAATTATCCCTTTTTATTACGGTGACGAGAGAGTTGGGGATGCTAGTGTGCAGCGGGGATGGGGAAAGATGGAGCTTCAGAGATCCCTCCTTCTCTTGAGACCCTGAAGTGGATTCAGAAACCAAAAAAACAACTGCGACACCTGAAATACCAAGATGGGTTGAAGTCACTGAGCAGCCCCGGCTGCTTTACCATACACAGCTCAGACACTCCACAGGAGAAGGCAAGGCCCTGAGTTTTCATCTCTGTTTGTAAAGAGCAGAAGACAACTACACAGACCAAATTACTATGGAGAGGAACGAAAGGGAACTTCTCCTTTTAACAGATGTATCACATTTTTAATCTTGAATGCTGTTTCAAAATCAAAGTGAAGGTCTCAGCTCCTTATAACCAGTCACGGGGTTGTGCAAACTGGAGCAGTGACAGCACGGGTCTGATTAGCAGCTACTTGTCCAAACTAGGATATGTGCTACCTGTGTGTAGAGTCAGAAAACACTGAGTGGGGACAAAGTCTCCTCTTCCCCTGGCATCCAAATAAATGAGTTAATTTTGCCCTCAACTCGGATTCATGGACACCTCTGGGAACACAGTTCCCACCACGTGCCCAAATACCTCCCTTCTTAGGGAGTCTCACCTGCACGCAGGGTTTCACCCACCAAAAAAAAATAAAATGAAACAAACAGTTTGAGACTCACTGCAGTTAAACAGCTATAAACCAAAATCCTGTCCAAAGGCAACCTAAATTGGGATGACAGTTTAACTTAAATTCCCAACAGAGGGGAAGCAAACCAAAAGCAACTCAGTTTAAACTTCTGTAAAATCTGCATAACTGTTTATCTCTGATTAAACACATGCAACTTTCTCACACAGAAAAGGGTTGGTGCAGCAGACATTTCGTTCACAGATTGCATTAACAAGGACAGTTTCTGAAGAACTTTATCAGTAGCTCAATAGTCAACAGCTGCACTGAATGCTGTAAAATCTTCCCACAAGTGATTCTCTGTAGGATACAACACAATTCTGATACACACTCTTCTGAACTTTAGCTGCTCTTCAGTAAGACCTCAGTCCTGTGCAAGCACTCCAGGAAACCCAAGTACGAATTTTCTTCTCACCAGTTATCAGAAGAGGGCTCTTCTGCTTATCCCTGGTGGCTTGTAACAGGAATTTCTAAAATGAAGAGTTCAACACCCAACTGACTTCCACACACACACTCAGGCCAACGCACTCACTGCCTCGGTTCAGATGCTAGAAATCTCAGCTGCAAAAATTACAAATTCAGATGATTAGTTGATTTGTACCAACACCAAGCTGGGAGACAGTAAGTTACCTATTTGAGTGATTTATCTTCCTCAAACACATACATAACTTCCACAAATGCCATTGAGAACACATATGCACTTGCTAAAGAACAAAAAAAAAATTAAAATCTCTACTTTGCCATTCCACTCACACAGAGGCTTGAAAGAGTGAGATGCCCTCATCACTTGAAGCCTGGCCATTTAAAGATTCAGAAGCAGACCTTTAACAAAGAAGTATTCTACTAATCATACAGGAATCAATATCTTCTTTCTACCCCTGTCTTCACAGAATCCATCTACGCACTCCAAGCTGATCTTTTAAATGAAACACTGCTGCTTCTATTAACCCCCCCCTAGATTGCTATAATCAAAAGTGTACCTGGCTACAAACGCCACTTTCAGATCTCAGTTAAAAAAGCAATTACAGAACGCGGCCGGCGAGAGAGCAGCTTTGTTAGAGGCACAATGCAGAAAATAAGATCCAATGATACTCGCAGAGGACGCGGGGCTGTTGTCATAGAAGCAGAAGACTCGCTGGCCGGCGCGTCCCCCCGTGCTGCGCCGGAGATGCTGCAGGTTGGGTTGTCACAGGCAGCATCGGAGCGCAAAAATTTCAAAGAAAATTCCATCCCCTTGCTTAAATTCCACTTCTCCCTTTCCCCTCCTCGGGTCAATAGAGTGAAACTGAAAGGACTTTAGTACTAATTACTGATTACTCCTCTGATTGCAAGTCATTACCGAAGCTGTACTCCTCCAGCATTCGGGCTGAAAGCGTTTCACAGGGTTTGTGCTTGAATCCTGGTGCCAGGAACTAGAAGATCTTCCTCCCCTCCCTTCCCCTTCCCCACTTGCTGTCCCCCCAGCTCCAAGCGCCCCCTGGTTATGCCGGTCCCGAGGACGGCGCAGAGAGCTGGCTCACAGAACGGAGCGATCCCAGTTAAAAATAAATCCTCCTACAACTTCTCCTGGTTTAAAAGTTGGTTCAGTCCCTGATCCAGCACAGCTGAGGGAGCCAGGCGAAGGGGACCGAGGGGTGGGAAGGGATGGCAGTTGCTATGCTACTGAGAGAAAGGTCCACCAAACCCCATCTCCTGCAGGCCCTCGGCACCTCAGGGAGGTTCAGCATCAGCGGTGGAAGGAGAAGGCGATGACACACTGATGTCGGGCAGCTCCTGTCCAACTCATCAGAATTGTGTTCCCTCCTTGGTGAAAGGGTGTTTATTTGGCAGCACGACCCCCTGCTCTCTGGGCGCACGGCCACAGATGGGCTTTGCTTCGGACGACTAAATTGGAAGAGGGAATATTTAGATTAGATACCAGAAAGAAATTCTTTCCTGTGAGAGTGGTGAGGCACTGGAACAGGTTGCCCAGAGAAGCTGTGGATGCCCCATCCCTGGAGGGGTTCAAGGCCAGGTTGGATGGAGCTTCAAGCAACCTGGTCTGGTGGAGGTGTCCCTGCCCATGGCAGGGGGTTGGAACTCAATGATCTTTAAGGTCCCTTCCAACTCTAACCATTCTGTGATTCTATGAGTCCACGTACAGCAGCAGCAGCAGCATCTCTGCTGCTTTACAGGCACCTGCAGACTAACCAGGGTTTTGTCACCGAAAACCAAAGTCAAACACAACTGGCACACAGCGTGCAAAAGAAAGGCTGGTGGCTGTTTCCATTTTGACTGCCTCGGAATAGTCCTCAAGAAAACACCTATAAGAGGAAAGATTTAGCTACATTACAGAAAACTCATTACACAGGAGAAGAAAAAGCTGTCCTTGAGAACACTTCAGTATGAGACCTTGCATCTTCTAGTTCTTTGCCTGGGTATCCCACTTCTTTGTAGCTAAGAGCATACTAATATTGACAACCTGTTTTCCCCATATGCTTTAGCGATGGGAACAAGGCCTCAAACACATCCACTTCCAGCTAGTTTTGCAAGAATAGGCACTTATGTAGCTATGAAATACTTTATTATTTCCCTATTGAGGAAAAAGCCTGCAGTGTGAGCTCGTCTTTTATTAGATAGAAAAACCACATAGGAGGAGGAGGATGCTACAAAAGCTCTAAAGCAATAAAATCTTAATCAGAGCTTATTGGCCACCAAAGAATACGTTCCTCAGTCAAGGTGTCTCTCTGCTTTTATTTTCTATTTTGGCCTAATGAAGTTTAAAAAAAATGAAGCCTATCACTATAAGACACCTCCATGAGAAACCAGTCTTAGCTGCTTTCAGTACTCCCCGAAATGTGTCCCATAGATGGCTCCACACAGCTATGCCCTTTAATTTGTGACCAACATCATGGTGAAGAATCAAACCGTTCTGTAGTGCAACACAAACCATCAAAGTGTTACTGCTCTTACAAATCACTAAAACTGGTCACTGCTGCCCCAGTTCTGTGGTATTTACTGCCTGCAGCCAATTTCTATGAGAAAAAATTCAGTGAAAAGGAGTCCATGAACTGTCTAAAGCTGATGGTGTTGGCTAGAAATCAACAGGTATATCTCAACATCCATTTGCTTCCAGAAAAAAAAACAACTAAAAACAACTGATGTTGAATTTAAGTGTTTCCAGCCATTATAATTTTGGCTACAATCTACATATGTTTTGTGTTATACGGGACCAGTGGCAATTTAAATGTGACCTTTTAACAGCTTCATCACCATCCACTAGCACACACACCGCCTTACAGAGCCACCAGTGCTAAACCATTCCTTTATTTCAGAGTCCACACTTTTTCTTACTTCCCTTTCATTGTTCCTGAGTTCCAGCGCTCAGGATCAGCCAACAGAGAAAAACCAAGAGAGAAGTTAACGACTATCAATCTAGAAGGAGCAAGTGGTCACAGCAGGCAACAAGAGCAAGGGCAGAGTCACAAACACAGCTGTACCTGTCAGACTCCTGGCTATCCATAGGCACTGAGGAGTGTGGAAGGAAGAAAAGAGGTTACTAGATCCACTCGTTTAATAAAAGCAGAAATAACGAGGCTAAATAAAGGTAGAAGTTAAAAAAAAAAAAAAAAAAAGCCCACGTATATTGTGCTAAAGTCAAATAGATCACACATCTGCCAAGGCTCTTATAGAAACATAGGACAGGAGCACTGTAGACAACCCTGAAGATGCTAAAAGACTGTGGAAACTATTCTGTAAATTACGTGGTAGGTAAAAAAAAAAAAAAACAAAGCCCACGTATATTGTGCTAAAGTCAAATAGATCACACATCTGCCAAGGCTCTTATAGAAACATAGGACAGGAGCACTGTAGACAACCCTGAAGATGCTAAAAGACTGTGGAAACTATTCTGTAAATTACGTGGTAGGGAAGAAACAAAAAAGTAGCTAAACCAAAGAGATTTCTTTATCTCTAGTATTTACAGCTTAGCAGTAATCTGTGAGAGACATTACAGACATGCAGCGTAACTTCTTTTTGAAAGAGTTAATACCTTGTGGGGTTCCTCCTCTCCCCCAAAGTCTTAAAAAGTGCATCTATGTTAAAAATGCTCTAGTCACAAATTACACATCTATGTCAATTCTCTATTATAAAACCTCACTCCTTTAAGTGCTCTGTCATCTAAAAAAAATATATTTTTCTTTTTCAGGAATTAAATCCTGAATCAGATTTCTATCAAGTAATTGATTTATTTTTTCTTTTACAGCCAGCGTACGCTGTCCTAGGAATAAAGCTTATAAAGGAAATAAGGTCATGACCTTAAGAAGTCTTATACAAACACTAGTACTACAAGAGAGATCTATCAGAAGCAGAAAACACAGTATGAGCAATTAACATAACTGCTAATAAATATTGCAAGCAAGCGATAGTTACCAATTTAGATCTATAATCCATGAGACAGATAGAGGCTTTGCTGTGGGTATATGAACCAAGAGAGTGGTCACACTGTTGAACCGGCGATGTAGAAGCAAAAGGATTACAATGTTTACGGTAAAGATGGATAATGAGAATATTATGTAAGGGACTAATGGGTAGGCAGGTTAGGCTGTGAACACACGCTGCGTAAAGGTCTGAAGGTAAAGAAAGGGGAAAGCCCTGAGGCGCACGAAAAGAACAGAAATAGCATTTGAGCTAGGGACAGATTAAGATAACAGCAGATATTTGGAGCCATCAGTTTAAAATTTACCAAAGGGACTATATCCAGATTAATCTAAAGTGAAAGTTCCAGATAAATCCTGCAAGTGGGTGCAAAACCTCAGACAGGAATCGTTACGCTGCAGAAAGGCAGCAAAGTAAATGGAGCCCAGGAGCAGCTGAAATACACCCGTATACATCGGTGTTTCGCACAAAGCCTGGGTCAAAGTCTACTGCACTGCAAAGGCAAACTGCAACGGGACGTGGAAATGCCTGCAACCCCCCTTACAGCACATCTATACCAAAATAACTGCCTTAAAGTAATAGTTATTCCAGATCAGAGCCGAAAAACGTAACAGAATTTAGTCCTCTTTTTCATGGCTAATCTAATGTGAAGACCAACTTTGTCTCTGGTGCATTTCCTCTCCAGCAAACTGGGATAAACCACCGTTTTTCATCTTGCCTTGCATTATCTTGCCTTGTGGAGACTGCCAAAGCACACGGACAAGCTCAGACCTTATATAAATAACAAGCTGCAGCCACCTATTTCAGGTCAGAATTTGGATCAAACAAGGACAAATCCTTTCTCACGATCCACACAATTGACAATCACCCCCACTTGGCAACACGTCAGGGCCGTGCTCTCGCCCCAGGTACTGCACATTTCTCACCATTGGTTACATTTCCTCCTGTTCTCACACCCCTGCCCTCCGTGCCATTCACCTTGGTACTGCCCAGAACTTGATTTTGAGGTGTCATCCAAATGACTTAAATTGATAGATCTAGAACAAAAATAATTCAACGGCGTGAACAGAAAGAAAATAAAGTCTACGGTTATTGCTTTAAAAATGTGAGTCCTTCATCTTGGCAGCAAAAAGTAAAATTGATTTATTGAGTCCAGAAGTCTGTGCAAGAAGATGATTGTAGTGGATTTGGATTTGCTACAAATGAGTTCAATATATGCATGACTACTGAAGGATAAAAACCTCTAAACAATGTAGGTGGTTATTTATTATTATTATTACCCATTCAGATTTGGGAACACAGGCTTTAAGAAGTCTTCTAAGAATTTGCTGGGTGTGGAGGAGAAGTCAAGAACCTGCGGGTATCACCCCTTTCCCCATCAGCTCTCTAACTTCACGACTACATTTTGTTAGGCAACAGGCTGGGACCGTTGTTAGAAAGATTTCCCCGAGCCAAATGTCTCTCTGTGTCTGGAGCCATGCCTCTCCCATTTCCTGCATAATGTTCAACATCCTTAAAGTCCATTTTAGAGCCACTACAAAACTCTCAGGAAGGATGAATTAGTCACCGCTTATTTTACAATGGCAAAAAATGTAAAGAAATAAAAGTTCTCGCATTTTTTACTCTCTTCTATGAATGTTTTCATTGCGGGTCTTCTATCGTCACACAGGTCCACTCCTGTT